AAACAATTTGATGATGCTAGAGGAAAGCTAGATTTAATGGAGTTTTTACTAAATTAAGAACTGTGATGCCATTAGCTTGTTTATCCAGCTGTATTAAGCTGTATTAAGCTTTTACCAGACAATGCTCCAAAAGGATTTCTTCTTCTTCTTTTTGACCTTTTCTCAACAATATGGGGTTGGCACTTCATCTTTCTCTTCCATTCCGTCCTGTCCAAAGCAACTTTTGTAGAGATGCTGCGCTCCTCCATATTATATTTAAGGGTCTCATTCCAGGTCTTTCTCGGTCTTCCTCTCTTGTCCCTTTCACTGACATTCCTATGACTCTGTACTGGGCTGTTTCTGGTTGGTGTTGCATATGCCTAAACCACCTCAGACAATTTTCTGTCAATTTTTCTTCTATTTCCTTGATGCCCAAACTTTCCCTGATGTAACTATTATTCACCTTATCTTTCCTTATGACACCGCTCATCCATCTCAGCATCTGCATTTCTGCAACATGCATTCTCTGTACCTGCACTCTGAATCATACAACATTGCAGACCTAACAATCATTTTATAAAATTTTCCTTTTAATCTTGGAGGCTTTCTTCTGTCACAAAGTACTCCACTAGCCCCTCTCTATTTAGTCCAGCCAGCTGCAACTCTATTTGTTATATCTTCATCAATCTCTTCATTTTGCTGGAGAGATTGATGAAGATATAAATTACTGATTCCATATATCTAAATCTTTTACTCTCGCTCCTCCTACTTTACATCAACTTCATTCTCAGAAGCACCTTTCCCAAAAACACATTTTGTATACTTTGTTTTCTTTCTATTAATCCTTAAGCCTTTTTCTTCCAATCTTTCCTTTCATTTTTCCAACTTACTATGTCATTTGTCCTGTCCACATTAATAAGCACAATATCATCCTGCAAACAGCAGATATCAAGTTATTTCATCCTGTAAATCTCCTGTCAGCACATCTATAATCAAGAAAAGCAAGTAAGGGTTCAGAGCTGAGCGAGCCCTGGTTCAAACCAGTGTCTATGGGAAACTCGTTGGTCACCCCAAATGAGACCTTACTGTAGTTGTGAACCCTTTGTACATATCGTCAATGACCTTAATATATCAACTCCATCACCTCTTTACTCTTTAATGCCCACCAAATTACTTCTGTTGGGATTCTATCATAGGCTTTCTCCAGGTTAACCCCTTCATTCCCGATCATTAATTAAATTGATATAAGATTAATATTAAAAGACATTAAAAATACTTAAAACTGAAAAAAATCAAAAGAAATGCGTTAATTTTGAAGAAAAACCTTCAAATTTTATTTTCCTCTGTTTCGCCTTTCTGTGAAATTTAACACCGATGAGTCATTGTTTACACAGCTGGGTGACCTTGAACACAGCTGGAGTCCGATTTCCCGGGACATTTTCATAGACGTCTCGGGAGGACGGGTTTAAAGTAGGGTGAATATAAGCGACACGGAAATTTTTAAATATTTTTAAAAAATTCAAACTTTTATTGCGATTTCCGACCCCCCTAATTAATTAATTTTATATTAAAAAAATATATTAATTAAAAAAATTAAAAAACCATTGGAGGTCGTTTTTGACATCAGAAACTAACTTTAAATAACTTTACCGAATGAAAATCCGTGCGCTACAACTTAGGAACCATGAAATAAAATTGATAAAAAACTCCCATTAAAAAACAATTAAGCCTTAATCGAGCCTTCACATAGGCTTATTAAAATCGTGATAAAATTTTTTGTGCGGGAAAAAAATTTTGTAAAAATTTGGGGACCTAAAAAACATTCCAAAAATTCAAAAAAAATATTTTTTTAAAAAATGGCCTTAAGGACCACATTTTTTGTAACGCTATGTAGGCTTGACGTATATATACGTCAATGGAGACTGAGGGGTTAATGAAAACCATGTATAAATTTTTTCCTCACACCTCGACACAGAAACCTTGGTCGAAGATATTAGGAAAATGAATTAAAAGGCTGCATTTTTAAAGGTTTTTGTGTCGAGGTGTGAGTATTAGTTGAGTGCAATTAGAGAAGAGTATAAATTTTTTTCTTTTCTCGGTGCTTTTTCATCAGTTAGTGCAGGAGGAAAATTTCCTCTGCTGTCAATCTTTAATTTGCCTTTTTTTTGTTCATCTCCAGATCCATTTCAACCTTAGACTGGAAGTTCAGTAGACCATAGAAGTATTGTTTCCAATGCTCTCTAATGTGTCAAGTCAGTTAGCACTCTCTGGTTACCATCCTTTATGCACTGTGTCTGACCAAGATCTCTGCTCTGTTTCTTTTATTTTAGCCAGTCTGTATACTACCTTCTCACCCTCTCTTGTCTAATTTCTCATAAAGTTTATCTAAGACTTTATATTTGGCCTTGCTAACTGCTCTTAGTTTTGTTTTGGCTTCTTTATACTTTCTATAATCATCCATTTCTCTTGTTTTTTGTCATTTCTTGAACAAAGTTTTTTCCTTAATAATTGTTTGCACTTTCTCATTCCATTAAAAATTCTTTCTCAACATATCCTTTATTCTTAGTCTCACCAACCACCTTTCTTCCCACCATCATAATACTTTCAGTCATCTTATAATTATAGTATGATTTTCGAATAGCAGACACTGGCTATTTGGAGGTATATGCCAGACGCCATACTGTATTTTAACTGGGTCATTATAAAGTGAAGAATACAATGGATTATGAAAACATCAAATGTGTTAGGAATGTGAAAATACAGCATTTTAATTATTTAAATACAATATTTTAATTATGTATATGCAGCATACATAATTAAAATATTCATACAACATATTATTTATCTTTTCAGCTGTAAAAATCACATTTTAATTGAATTCTAAATAGCATACAGATTCTATAGGATACTTTAATTAAATGGAACATAAAAATTACGACAAAATGCAAATGTTGATTAATTATTAATTCTTCAAAAATAATCTGAGCAGAAGTAACAAAAAGAAAAATGAAACTATTATTATGAACAAAAGGGTGGACGAAGGTTAGTTTAGGCAATGAGAGTTTGAATGTTGAGTTACAAAGGTGATTTGCTAGCCACTTCAAAGGATAAGAAAGTATTCAGTATTCTTGCATTTATAACATCATTTATGATCTAAGCAACTAATAAAAATTGATATAGGGATTTGTTTGCTTTGTAGTTATTGAGTAGGTGTAATTTTTCAAACATTTTTGCTTTTTTCAATAAATGATTTATTAAAAATTACTTCAGCCACTAGAAAGCTATTAAGATCACAAATTATGTCATAAATTTGAGAAAACTGAATATCTTGCTATACTTTAAAGAGGTCAGCAAATTGCCCTTGTAACATGATCTTTGAACTTTCATCAAATAAATGCTGTTGTTATAACCTTAAAACTGTTCCTTTTTTATTACTAGTGTTACAGTTCTTGTTGAATGAATGAATAACTATGGAAAAATTTATGGTTTCTTGGTACTGTAAGCTTAATTTCAAAAATAAGACAGAAGTTTAATAACATTAATATATATGATGATAAATGGTGATTGACATTTTTTACATTTACATTACATTTACATGTAAAAAAAAATTGTCAATTATCATTTATCATCATATATATTAATGTTATTAAACTTCTGTAAAAATTGATTGACAATGTAACTAGATTAGTCTTCTCTAACAGATAAATAGTATTGTTTGGCTTTTTACAACCTGCCCTTCTCTCCTATTTCTATTATAAGCCAGTTTTTATTTGATGACTATGGTTGAAATTTGTCATCTGAAAGAGTATTTGAATTGATTTTTTGTTTTAGTTTTAAAATATTTTGTACATAATTAATTCTTTCAGAATATTGAAGGTGGAACATTGTGTTTTCATAGGGTAGGTTATGGATGACAGTGTCTTCTATTTAGAGGTAAATATTATAGGTGTCCTATTTGAAGGGTCTGGGGATTGTAAAAATGTCCATTAAGTAGAGATGTCTGCTATTCAGGAGTGTTCGTTAATGGAGGTTTCACTGTATAACCTTCTTGCATTTTGGTACTCCTGTAATAGGTTATCTAGGCAATTCCAGAACTCTCTCTTCTCTTCCTCCCCTGACTCTGCTTGAGGGTTATATACAATGAGTAAGTTTCAATCTGCATTTCCAAGGATCACCTTGATCATCAGTTCTGTCATTTATTCTGTTTACTTCTAGTACTTTCTTCTTCAGCTCTTTACAGACCACAATTCCAACTCTGTTCCTTTCATTTCTCATCCCAGAATACCATAACTTATAGTCACAACTAATTTCTGTAGCCTTCTCTCCTTTCCATTTTTTCTTTTGTAAGTAGGCCACACTTACTCTCCTTTTCTTTAGGATATCTGCCAATTCTCTGCTCTTTGGAGTTTAAGGGTAATATATTTCTTGATATTACCCTTAAAATCCAAAAGGATTTATAGAACTTAATAGCTTAGTAAGCATCTGCTGAATTTGACTTAAGAAGGGAATGACAACATTGATATATGTGAAATTTTGTGAGACTTTAAGAGTAGAAAAATACCAAAACGTTCACTTTTACATTGAAAATTTTATTTATAATTGTCACAAAATATTTTTTTTGGCCCTATAATCATTTCATGATAATTATAAATAAAATTTCCAGCATAAAGGTGAAAGTTTTGATACTATAGAGTGAGCTAGACAAGAATGAATAAAGTAGAAAATATGTTATATTATGTAAGGTGTTTTCTAGGACTAACAATTCAGTTTGACTTAAGAAGGGTTTCAAGATTAGAGGTTTTACTATATATTATAAATTTAGTAATTATGTTGTTTTGCTTTGCTCCTCATATTTGACAATTTGAATAATATATAGCATGTACTTATATATATATACTATTCTTTATAAATATAATTATAAATTCTTAAATATGATATAATGAATTAATATTATATAAAAATATTAGATTATTTTTTTATATGTGATGATAATTATATTTTATATGCTTTGTTTTTTCCAGAAGCACAGAATTTTGATGTCATTAGATTCTCCTCTTATCGTACAGCATGCAAACTAAGATTTATTCAGAAGAGAACAAATTGTACATGCATAATTTTTTTGTTTCATGAAATTATTTTCTTTCTTATAACTGTAATAATTTTGATTTTTTTTTCAGTGCATTTAGTAGACATCTGGAATATTATAGAAGCATTCCGTGAAAATGGCTTGAACATTATAGAACCTAAATTGGATGTTCCCATATCCCGTTTGGAAACTCTTATATCTTCAATATTCTTCCAATTAAATAAAAGGCTTCCATCAACACAACAAATTGATATAAGTCAAAGTATATCAATGTTACTTACTTGGTTATTAGTCACTTATGATCCGTAAGTGGATAAAAATGTAATTATATTATTTATATTCAATATTTTTTGGTTGAGAACAGTGTTATTTCTATTTTTAATAGAGAAGAGACTGGTAAGATTCATGTGATGTCCATAAAAGTATCTTTGGCTACAATGTGTGCAGGAAAGCTAATGGATAAATTACTTTGTAAGTACTTAGTATGAAATATAAATTTACATGTGGAAATAAGATGATTTTCATTACTCATTTCATCTGCTTTAATTGCAATATTAATTTTTTCATTTCAGATATATTTTCTTTAATCTCAGACCAAAATGGACATCTTGTGTTTAGTAAATTTTCTGATTTTATAAAAGAAATTTTAGCTCTTCCATGCTCAGTTTTAGAATCTCCTTCATTTTGTTATAGTGATGGTTTAGCCAGTACTATTTTTGATGGGGTAAATTCTAAGTTTATCAATTTTATATTTTTATATAAAAAAACATAAATATTTTGAAATACAAATAAATTAATTCCTTAAGTATAGATTTTAAATTAAATAAACACTTATCCCTTCAAATGTTTTTATTAGACAACCATTCAAAAGCCTGTCTCAAACTAGGCAATGCTGTTGCTTTTGACATGACATCGGATGCAACTTTTTCATACATGCATGATTGTCAATGATTTGGCAGTATCACTGCTTGTGATGTAGTTCTACAGAACCAATAAACATTTTGTCAAATCTAACTGTCGGGCAGCAATCTGCTCATCATACTATCGCATTTCATTAATATCCCAAGTGGCAAAAATGTTTGAGAGACTCCTGCTCAATAGACTCCATAATCAGATCTACACTAAGAACATATTTCATCCTAATTACTTTGGCTTCCTACCATACAAAGGAGTTGGAGAGACTTTAATTACAATCCACCACCATCTCACCATTGCAAGGATGAGATGTCACTGGACATACCTGATTGCTTTGGACCTTGAAGGTGCATATGATTTGGTTTTCCAGGCGTGCCTACTTGCAAAACTATCAACCGTAGGCATGGGGGTTGCACGTTATGGTGGCTAAAGTCCTTTCTCCTCCATTGTACCTTTCACGTCCGATGGCTGGGTACAACTTCAATACCTCATGCCTTCTGGCATGAGGGTCCCTCAGGACAGTGTTCCCCCTTCCTCTTTACTTTGTTATATGTCAGACCTATGGGAGGCACTCCCGAAAGACATCATGGCCATACTTTATGCTGATGACCTCTACCTTATTGCCTCAAGTACCCAACACTCCCAGGCTATTGCTCGTGCTGGCCCATTCGGAGCAGTGGGCTTCCCTACTTGGAGCCTCTTGTTTTCTTGTTCTTGGCACCCAAAAGCACTATTCTGGACTTCTCACCGAAACACCACTGTCCGCCAATCTCTTTGTCCCTTCATTCAGGCCAAATCCCACAACATACCTCCTTACGTATCTTAGGAGTCCAATTCTCACATTCTCTAACTTGGACGGCCTACAAGACTTTCCTTATGATGAAATTAGCATGGGCAGGTGTTTCTCAATCTCTAACGAATCGTCGCCCCCTTCAGTAAAACTGTTACATAGTATTGCCCCCTTCACTTCAAAATTCTGATGCATAGGGCTAAGGCTAACACCAAATTCATACTGCATTGAATAGACTAGTGACTAGTATAATGTTATTTGTTACGATATAATGAATAAAATATTTAATTATTCTTAATATAATGTTTCACTATATCGCCCAGAAAATTGTTTTTCACCCCCAAAAATTTAAATTGTTACTATATAATGAATAAAATATCTAATTATTCTTAATATAATGTTTTACTATATCGCCCAGAAAATTGTTTTTCACCCCCAAAAATTTAAATTGTTACTAATCGCCCCTCAACATGGAAAAATGCCCACATGGGGCGATATTGCCCTCGTTGAGAAACACTGATGTAGACTGTTGCCTATCGATGACCTATTTATGGACATCAAAATCATGCTTACAAATAGATGTCATTGAACAACAGCTAATAGAAATGTTTTCTGTTCGAAGGTTATGTGACTTGGATGAAAACCTTGTTGAACTGATGGGGAAAAAAATTCTTTTTATACTATCTGTTTTGACAGAATGTTGTGATAAAATAAAAAATTAATAATAATATTTAGACCAAAATTTCAGAAGAATTAGAAATGAAATTGTTGGTGATTCTAATCTTGTTTTTTATTGGATGATATATTTATGGTGAAAAATATACAGTGTTGGTTAATGAACATAATCCATTCCAAGACCATGTGTGCTATCCAAACTGTTCGTTAACTGATTATAGATTAACCATAGATTTTTGTGGGAATTTGATTAATTCATTCTGGAGACCCCAAGAAATAAATAAAAAATTATATACTTTTTTACTATGTTTATTTACATGTAATAACAAATTAAAAGCAATCTCTCCATTTTTTGTGGATACATCTTTGTTTCTCAGATGTGATTTTTGTTATTCCTTTATCTGCATGAGTCTTTCTCATTATATCTTTCTTAGCTAAGATTATATCTACTGTAGGCCTGTTAAAGTTATCTACCTACAATATCAGACATCTGCCCCCTNATAAAAATGAAAAAAATTTTATTTTAAAAGTTCGTTTTAATATAAAAATTGTGACGCGAAGCGACATCTAGTATCAAAAACATTCCAATGTAAACATGGAAATTTTCGGGATTGCCCACGCAGGTCAATGAGGTCAACACGAATATTTTTGGAATCAGCGTAGGACAGGTTAACAACTCCTATTCTGTCACTCTACATGGAGACTGGGTACATACCTCACAAAACAAGGCTCCGCATGTGGACCATGATGCATGCCATTACTCATCTGGCATGCAGCCCCTTTAGCCTGCTTCACAAGCTTTATAAGACAGCTCCCAGCTTGGCATACTATTGTTGGCATCCTTACTAGGAAACCTACATCATGAGGGTCTTCTCCATCATATAGCAGACTGTCCTGTTGAAAGTATACCTCCAAAAGAACACGCCACCGAATGCCATGCATCTGCAACCATTTTTACACCTAAACATCTTTTAGTTGACTGAAGAGGGGCAAAGCCCGAAACGAGTACAAAATAATGTACCGTATCAACTAATAAAGGAATTTGATGGAAAATTTGCCATGTGTCTTTGGAATAAAACACAATACTAGTGTTTACTATGCCACAAATATAAAACAGGACATGGTTTCAAAAAGAAAATCAAAAAGAAAATCCTAAACATCTTCTCGAAGGCGGAACCCAGTCCATCCACAGTCACTTGCACCCGCTTTCAAGAGGAGGTTTCTAACTGGTAGAAAGACTGGGTGCTTATCGGAGTGGACATTTCCAAAACCCCACTCAGGACGACCGCCAGGGTGGTCATCCCTTCTCATCAAATCACTGAAACATGGCAAATAGACAAAGGTTACAGCATCTTCGGAGCGGAGGTCCTGGCCATCTAGCAGGCCCCTCCACCGCCCAACAGTCACCACTGACAGTCATCACTTCTGACAGCCAGTCAGTCCTTCAAGCAGTGGCAGTGGTCACCCATTCGTCACCACCACTCGTCATAGACCTGGTGGCAACTATCACATCATTTTCAACACCCTTCACCATCGGGTGGATCCTGGGCCATGCAGGCATCTTAGTCAATGAAGTGGCCGACAAGGCCGCACAAATTGGCACACCTACTGGCACAATATGGTGCCTGCTACAGCCAAATGATTTCTCTTGGAGCATCAGAAGATCAACTATCCAAAACCTCATCAATGCATGGACGCCAAGTCTTTGCAGGAAGGGGTGCGACCACTTTAGCCCCTTTGCCAAGTGGCATTATCAGTATGCCTCTTCCTGCCAAACAGAAACTTTGCTGGCCTGTCTCTGCACAAACATGACCCCGCTGAATGAATTCTTATACTCCCATTGACTCTGCGACTTATCGGTGTGTCCTTAATGCAGCACAGAGGGAACATCATATCACTACTGGCTCAAATGCTCACGATACGATGGGTCTCGATGTACCCTCAGTATGAATCTATCTCTCAATCTCAACCTGACCCACTCATGAATTCTGATTTACTGGCCATCTGCCAATGTACCACCAAGCCAGCATGTGGCAGCCTTGGAGTTGTATATTCGCAAAATGGGTTGCTTCAACTAACTACCAGGCGGCAGCTCATCGGAGAATATAGCCCAAGTGGCTGACATCTCCATATAAACCCAAGAAAAAGAAAGAAAGAACGAACATTTTTCTATCTCTCTATGAACTATTGCTCTGTAGTCTAAAATGGCAATGACAATTTATTGATGTTAGCTTCAGGTGCTTTCATTTGTTGTCTGCTTGGCTGAAATTTAATAACTAAATGAAAAAAAATTTAGACTATAGATTTCAATAATTTCAATAAAATCAATGAAATATTTTTTATTTTTATACCTATGAAAATATATCAAACAGCTTTCTGTTTTGTAATCCTATTATAGTGAAGACATGACCAAAATATGACAAAGATTATAGCACAAATGCACACCTTTGTGGCCTACAGCTTGTGCTCTTTTCTCACAAACTTTCAAATATACATGAGCATTGCTGATCATCACCTGAAAAATTCAAGTTCTTGGATTTGAGAGGTGTCAAATGGACTACCTATTTTCCATCGAAGGTATAATGTAGAGTGATTTGAGTCAATGACCCGACAATTAATGGTCAACCATGTGACAACCAAACAAGTTTGCTTCAATATTGCCTAGTTTGCAGTGGACTAAACAGAATCTCTAGAACATCTAGAAACAGAATAATTACTAAAACAATTTTTCATTTACAATTACAGTAGAGCGTTGTTTATCCGAAAGCCGGTCAACCGAAACATCGGTTAACTGAAAGTGTTCCAGTCTGCAAATTTAAATTTCCGCTAGTGCTGTGGTGCTGCAACCTTTGGCTATGTCTTGGGCTACTCCAATATTTTTTTTTGTTGATGTGTGTTTTAGCTGGCAGCACTGGCACTTTTGTGTGGTATTTTTCTGAGGACAGTGTGTCAGGATGTGTGTCGTGCTGAATCGAACATTTTTGTTACTAGATTAACTTCTAAAGTATAATTTTTATTTGTTTTTATATTTTTCAATACATTTATTTTGTTAGTACAAAGTAAAGAGATAATTTTTAACGATACAATACCCACGAATATTATTATAAAAATTTACGTTAGGCTTAACATTGACGAAAATTCAATGCGAAGCGACATGCAATGGAGAAAAATTTCAACATCGAATAGGTTAATATATTTTTTTTGTACATAATCAGTTATCTGAACAACCCCAGTCCCCAATTGATTTGGATAAACGACACTCTACTGTACTTTTGATTATAATTGTTTTTTGTAAATTTTAAAATATTTTACTTAATTTCTTTTAAATTTTTAAGTAATTTTGTTAAAATTAATATATACATATATACATAGGATTCCTACACATCTGGAAAGTTGGGGATTTTCATTAGTGTTAGGAAAAAGTCATGAAAAGACAGGAAATTTGTAAAAAAATTTTAAGAAGTCAGGGATTTTGCCTTTTTGGCCTTTTTTTTTGCCAATATGCTTGACTAAGTATAGCTGTCTGCAGGCAGCAAGAAGTAATATGGTACAATACAACTTATGAAAATGGGTGCAGAATATTTTCAGGACCCAAGATTTTTCTCAAGCATACACAAAATTTTTCCAAAAATTTACAATGTACAAAAAATGATAAATAATATGATTTAAATTAAAATTATTTATCATTTTTTATTTTAATAATTTTGATTACATAAAACAATTTCTGTTTTTTTTCCAGTTTTTTTTATTTATAAACTTCAGGAAATTTATTAAGGAATAAATTTAATAAATATATACTTTTGTACATGGGTTATACAGGATTTGTTAATGAATAATAGATAAATAAATTATTGCTTTTTTCTTTATTTCAAAGTCTTGTAGATTTGAGGTTGTGGATTAATAACAGAATAAACTACTTTAATTTAATAAAACATTTTATTTTTAGTTGTAATAATTTGGCAATTATAAAAAAATATATAACTGTTAATTAGAAAAAATAACTAACTAAAAAGCTAGAAGAAGCAATAGCATATGATCATAGTAAGTCAAATGCTGTTTTATTTTGTCAATTTGCAATAGTGTAAAGGACAAGAGGGCCAGGGAAAGTCATAGAATTTAAAACAAAAATTTGAGTAGTAACCCTGTATATAAATTAAAGGACAAATGATAACAAAAGTAAAATATTTGACAGCCGGAAATTAAAATGTATGAAATTTTACATTGATAAATTTTACGGTTTTGTGATTTGTTTACAATCATCATACTGTTTAGTGTGATGATTGTGAAAAAATTTTCACTTGAAGAATTCTTTAAACAATAAAAATTAAAGTAACAAGAACTTAACAGAAACAACTTAAGCAATAAAAACAAAATGAATAAGTGAAATTACTTCACCTTATAAAAAATGAATAAGTGTTTATTTAATAAAAATTTATTAATGTTTTAAAAATACTTATTATATGAATTGTTGTATTTGTTAATTAAATGTTTTTTTACCTTTTTTAGCAAGCAAAAATTAATGTAAATGATTTTTTGGATACCTTAATGTCAGATCCAGCCCCACAGTGCCTTGTATGGTTTCCTTTATTTCATAGAATGGGCAATGTAGAGAATGGTAATATGTTCATAAATCAAAAAAATTAAAGTTCATAACTATTTTAATATAATTAGTTTTATTTATATGAAGTTACAAACAAATTTAATTAAATTTTCAGTTCTACATCCTGTTCAATGTGATGGTTGCAATCGTGAAGCATTTTTAGGTTTTCGATATAAATGTCAACGTTGTTATAATTATCAATTATGCCAAGATTGTTTTTGGAGAGGAAGAGTCTCTGGAAATCATACAAATCAGCATGAGATGAAAGAATATACTCATTATGTAAATATACATTATGTAAATTTTTTTAATTAAAAAGTTTAGATTATATAAAGTATTCTTTGTTTTTCAGAAATCTCCTAGAAAACAAATAGGACATTCAATTCGAAAATCATTTAAATGTGTTCCAGAAAAGCAAACAAATTCTATTCCAAGATTTCCAGAAGAACCTGAAAATACTTTAAATTTATCTCATATAGTGTAAGTAAATGTTATGGATATAAAATTTTATTTACAATAATAATAATAATAATAATAATAATAATAATAATAATAATATATTAAAGGATTATAAACATAACAAATATGGATTAATTTCTAGCTAAAACTGTATTTCAGTGATTATTGAGACATTACATGTGTGTGCATATATGAGCAATTGAAATATTGATAATACTGTATTGAAAAATGACATGATGTAAATCAATTAAATAAACATTTGATATTAATATTAATAATAGCTACTTTTGAATTTGCTATTTTTTAAAAGGACTTACCAGACCACAGTTTTTTAGTTGGAAACTTCACTCAGAAATCTATTAAACTATGTACAATTTAGGTCTATTATTGCTATTCATTGGTTGGTTTTTTATTGTGTATTCTTGTCTTTCTAAGTTTTATTTGACATTCAATTTTAATTCTCCTTCAGTATCATTTGGTAATCACAACAATGTTTACTGACATAAAGTAGTGAACATGTAGATAAAAACTTTGAAGTCTGAATTTCAGATTAATTTTTACAACATTTAAACTAAAGATAATAAAATATTAGAGTATTGTCTAATATTTATTTAGAATACGCATTAATAAGAATTTCATATTTGTACTGAATGAAATTCATCTGTTTTGTGCTCTAACAAGTAAGTAATTTTTTAAATTTGCAGAACTTGGAACATTCTGACAACTGTAGCTTCAAGTTCCACAGATTTTGAAATGATTTAGTGAACAAAACAGATGAATTTCATTCAGTAAAATATGAAAATCTTATGAATGCTCTAAATAAACAATTGAAAAGAAACATGAATTTTTAAATTTCTTTCTTTCTTGTTTCTTTTCTGCTGATATAAAATTTTTGCCCTCTTCATATTAATGTTTGCAGGTCAAAGGATTACTTTGCACCTCTGCTCTGACCCAGTAACTAATTCCTGCTGTTAACCCTCTTGCAGCAGCACTGATAAACAGTACAGAGCCATTTCAAGCATTTCATTGTATCATGAGATGTGGCAGCCAAACAAGTGGGACTTTTCTGAGTGGGAGATGGCACTTCACTGTTTAAATAGTGCTGTGATAGGAGGTCATGTAGCACAAAACCATCCTAATAGAATTGCTGTTATCTTGTATATTGTTTTGATTAGCATTGATTTTGATTTTTAAAAATTAATTTTAATCATATAATTTATATAATTACTATGTAATAATAACCACAAAATTATTTTATTTTTTGTTTTTGTTTTTTTTGGAGATATTTCAATTTTACAGTGTTTATCACGAGCTGCCTATGTTGTTATTTATTTCTAATATTTTGTTAATGTTATGATATNTTGGTTGGTTTTTTATTGTGTATTCTTGTCTTTCTAAGTTTTATTTGACATTCAATTTTAATTCTCCTTCAGTATCATTTGGTAATCACAACAATGTTTACTGACATAAAGTAGTGAACATGTAGATAAAAACTTTGAAGTCTGAATTTCAGATTAATTTTTACAACATTTAAACTAAAGATAATAAAATATTAGAGTATTGTCTAATATTTATTTAGAATACGCATTAATAAGAATTTCATATTTGTACTGAATGAAATTCATCTGTTTTGTGCTCTAACAAGTAAGTAATTTTTTAAATTTGCAGAACTTGGAACATTCTGACAACTGTAGCTTCAAGTTCCACAGATTTTGAAATGATTTAGTGAACAAAACAGATGAATTTCATTCAGTAAAATATGAAAATCTTATGAATGCTCTAAATAAACAATTGAAAAGAAACATGAATTTTTAAATTTCTTTCTTTCTTGTTTCTTTTCTGCTGATATAAAATTTTTGCCCTCTTCATATTAATGTTTGCAGGTCAAAGGATTACTTTGCACCTCTGCTCTGACCCAGTAACTAATTCCTGCTGTTAACCCTCTTGCAGCAGCACTGATAAACAGTACAGAGCCATTTCAAGCATTTCATTGTATCATGAGTTGTGGCAGCCAAACAAGTGGGACTTTTCTGAGTGGGAGATGGCACTTCACTGTTTAAATAGTGCTGTGATAGGAGGTCATGTAGCACAAAACCATCCTAATAGAATTGCTGTTATCTTGTATATTGTTTTGATTAGCATTGATTTTGATTTTTAAAAATTAATTTTAATCATATAATTTATATAATTACTATGTAATAATAACCACAAAATTATTTTATTTTTTGTTTTTGTTTTTTTTGGAGATATTTCAATTTTACAGTGTTTATCACGAGCTGCCTATGTTGTTATTTATTTCTAATATTTTGTTAATGTTATGATATTTTATAAAATTTCATAAATTTGGTATTTTCTCTAATTTATACATGGAATATAACAGGCTAAGAATAATTAGTTTCTTACAAAATCTCTTTTTATAGTTTTAAAGATTAAATGTTGAAATTAAGGTATTAGCATTAAATAAATTATTGTTAGAAAAAAAAATAAAATAAATACATATATAATAATAATAATAGCTCTCCCATGGTCATCACCTAGTTGTGGTAGGAGAGCCCAGTAATTTTACTGATCCATAGGGCATTGCAGGGTGGAACACAAGCTTCTGGTAAGGACACCCATGCCAGTAAGTTCTATGGGGAAAAATGTAGCTAAGAGTGACCACACCCACATTCTGTGGAGATATTTTTTATGGTAGTAACCAGATCTAAGTATGATACCAGCTTGGACATTGCCTGGGTTAACAAGGTCTGTGTTCGTGGGTTAGGCAGAGGCTCGTGTTCGAAAAATAGGCCACATTCTCCCTTGGTTACTGGTGACTAAAGCAGTGCCGGCTCAAGCATGGCTACTGCAATGCCCTCAATAGATGAGAAAAATCAACCTAGCCTTGGTGTTTCGGTGGCAATGCATCCACAGACCACAAGGTCTGGAAAACCACGCCAATGGATGTAATGGACAATAGAATGAACAAGTTTATCATCCGTACTTATTATGCCATCACAAAAGTCGAAACAAACATGACAGCATACAGACAACAACTACACCATAGATTCACACAACAATATCCTCACCTCACTATCACCGAACAAAGGGTTGTTGGTCAAAAAAAAAGAACAATTATACACAACAACCTTATCCCACAAACAACACTTGAACTTATCAAACAAGAGGTTGCTGATCAAATACATCAACAGACAGAAACATTTAACATTGATGAAGATTACGTAACCTGTCAGAATAATCCAGCAACAAGCACTGATTATAGCACACACAACAACTACCACTAATGATACTAGATACACTTCCTCAACCACCACTGATAATATAGATTTAGTTAATATGCTCTCACTTATATTTCAGGAAACATTCACTAAATATGCAGGTACAGGTCCCACACAAGGACCACAAATACTGAAAACATGTCTAATGTAATAGAAAAAACACTCACTTACTACCACACTACATCCATTCAATTTCTACACTTAGACATTCATACGATGGTTTATGCTGAGGCAGTCACAATTTTTCTTACTCAAAAGTGTTTCATGACTTCTAAAAGGTTAATCCTTTCCCTCTCCCCTGCAGGGAATTTTGATTTTTCGAAATTACTTGCAGGGGAGAGGGAAAGGATTTCCCTTTTTAGTGTGTGTTTTCATGACATACCCTAACTGTGTACAAAATTTCACCTCTTTAGGTTCAGCAGTTTGCTCTGGGTGATGATGAATCAATCACTCTCTCAGTCAGTCAGTTAGTCAGGACAAGTAATTTTATATATTTAGATTATGATAAAAAAAATTTCTGATAAAATATATATATTTTTTAAATCAAGTCAAAATTTGTATATTTATACAATGACCTCCATTTCTTCATAGTATATAATATATTAACTAAACTGTTGGAGGAAAATTACAGATTTTTTGACAATTTTACTAATTATACACAGTAATTTTTTATTACAGTAGAACGTCGATTTTCCGAATCAATTGGGGACTAGGGTTGTTCGTATAACTGATATTTTGGATAACCGATTTATGTACGAAAAAATAGTTTAACGTATCTGATGTTGAAATTTTTATCCGTTGCGTGTTGCTTCGCGTTGAATTTTCGTCGATGTTAAGCCTAACAAAGACTATTGTATCGTTAAAAATTATTTTTTTATTTTGTACAAACAAAATAAATTTATTGAAAAATATAAAAACAATAAAAAATTATACTTCAGATGTTAATTTAGTATCAAAAACGTAAAATATTTGAGTAGCCCAAGACATAGCCAAAGATTGAAGCGCCACAGCACTGGCGAAAATTTAAATTTGCCGACTGGAATTCTTTCGGATGATTGACTTTCGGAAAATCGACACTCTACTGTATTTCATTATACAATTATTATAATGATTTCTTTTTTATTTTACTCCTGTCTCTACTAATCAAGTGATTGTCAAAACATGATGAGAAGGTTGCTGAAAATTTATTGCAAAATTTATTCTATTGTAAAGTGTAAAGTTTTATTGTAGTTATGAATTTATATATTCAATGTGCTAATACATTAGATTTTGAAGTTCTTCACTTACAACAACATACAAAAGTTATAGAGCAAATAATTTTATATTCATATATTTCTTTTGGTATCAATACACATTTTTCTAAATGACAACATCTCAAAGCTCGAGTAGTATACAATACATCACCAAAAGATCGCCTAAATATTATAGCCCAATATTTAGGCGATCATTTGGTGATTTATTGCATACATTTTTCTCTAAATACACAAAGTTATTTGAGACAGTAATACCTCGACTTACGCTACCCTGACTTACGCGAACCTGAAGTTACGCGATTTTCAAATCTTGTTGATTCGTCTTTTGTTTGAACACCACGCAACTGTTGATTACTCACTCCCCCCACACTATTGTTCAGCTTACATGTTCGGATGTGCCGTGCGGAATCAACGCGTAGCTACAATTTATTTTGTGTTACTTATTTCTGTGTTGTTATATCTACGGATATTTGAGAGACTCTATGTGGTG